AGTTATTTCTTTTTTTAATTACACAAAAAAGGGCGAAACACTGTTTTCATTTTGTTTACGAAAAAATTTCACAAACAAAAAAAATTTTAAAAGTTTTTTATTCTATTTTTCTATATTTTTAAAAACCAATACAGTCAGGGGAATGTTTCTAGAATTTTTGAAGCCCCGTGGAACCTTTTAAACATGGTGTATGCACAGTGGAGTTTTACACTCCTACCATAAAAGAGTGTCCCCCTCTTGTTGTGTCGTTTTTTTGTATGTGCACAGACGTAACACCTCTTTTGAGCCTTTTTTTTTTTAAAGCGTAGCAGCGTTTTAACCCGGGGTGATCACCCGCTTCAACGACAGGGGGTTGTTTAAAATTTTTGGGCGGTCAAATTCAGGTGTTTCCTTGGACTTGAATATATTTGTCTGATGACAGACAAAAAGAATTCGCCGCGTGGTATGTTTCTGGGCTCATTTTATACAAAAAAGATTGAGCATGGAAATTCCGAAGATGGGAAAAAAAGTTTGATGTTCCCCTTTTTAAAATTTGCGAACACAAAAACAAAACCCCAAACTGAAGTCACATTTGTCCATGAACGCATGTTGAAGGTGTAATCAATCACAGCTGGGTTTAGAATGGGTTTATTTTTTCTCTCTATGCGCCTCCCCTGCTGCCATTTCATTGGGTGAATTGATGACAACAGTTCTCTGTTTTTTCATGCCCCCCAAATCCATGTATTGGCCGCAAACGCCTGCACCCACCTCTACGGTGCCAGCGCAAACCGGGGGAAGTTTCCGATTTTCACGCACTGGCCCACATTTTCATGTTTACTCGCAAAAATCACTGAGGAGGGGCTTTTGACCTTATCGTATAAATTATGCCCTTTCCCAAAGGGATGGTTTATCATTGTTTAACCACCCCGAGAGCCCATAACTTCCCGGGATTTTGCAATGTATAACTTCCATGTACACAAAACCCAAAACCAACCACTGAACAACACAAAGCACAACAACTTTATACCAAAGCGTTTCCTCTTGCTTGGGATGTACGCTTGAAAGAGTCTTCCCTTTTAACAGAATCAAAGACTCGTCAATTACAAACTTCCTGAAGGATAAAAATGCGTACTGAATTTCTGTTTCAGATACACAAACACATTCCTAATTTTATAACCTGTCATTCTGTCGGGGCCTGGTTTATCTGAGAAGTGAAGCATACGAAAACATTAGCAAAAATCGATTCACTGGCATTATATCACTGAAACCTGGTGTTGCAATCAGGGGGTCTGTTGACCAGTATGATTTCACTTTGTGCTTATACACATGTGGCATAAGCATTATTGGGGCAAAGAAAAGATACATCTCACCACAGTTGCCTCCTTCCCTGGTGTAGACGTGATTTTGGAAAGTAATGTTTGCCATGGTGTACTCGTAGTTGTGTTGTTTTCCAGACATATTTTCATCGTGGTTGTAAAAAGAATAACTTGAACTTTCCCAGTCGGGGGCATGTTCCCCAAGTGCACAAGGCCCGTATTCCACTTTGGCTGTCATCAAATGGGGGGGATTTGGAACAAAATTGAAGTTTCCTCCCAATCCAGGTGCGGTCTGCGGGTGGGTACTGGAAATGACGGTGGTTGTGGTTGTGGGGTGGTGGGGGGGTGGTGGGGGGGGGGGCCTTTTTTAGATGTGAGGAAGCGGGGGGGGTGGCACAGGGCCCCACTCTGGTGCCTCACCCCGGCACACTACCCCACGAATTTTTCCCATCCCAATTGCAACGTTCTTTGTCATTTTCCGTCTGTTTCCTTTGTAAGCCAGGGGATGTACTCCGAGAAACCCCCTTTCCCCCTGGATAACATAGGGCACAACAGAGCGCATTTCGTCGTTTTGAGTTTTCACGGGGGAAATATTGCACTTCACTATCACTACGGGGAAATTTTAAAGATTGTAGTTATATTCCTAAAAATTTCATCCCCCATGCTCTCATTGATTTGGGGTTTTGGGGAAAAATAGAAGTTTCCTTTTGGGGTTCTGGAAAAACTGAATGAAAAAGGGGGCCAGCACCAGAGGGGAAGGTGGGGGTCGTCTGGGTTTTCCCCCTATTCCCCGATATTATGGTCTTTAGTTTCCTAAAACCCTCACTAAAACCATGAAACTCATCTTCCTGGCACTTCCATCACTATTAGAACTGTCACTGGGGACAAAAGTGCCCCAGTTTCCCCGAGGGGAGGACCTTTTACGCGAGGCATGGTGGACTTGTTTAAAAGAGGGCTTTGCACAGGGGGCCCCAGATTTTTTTTTTCCCCGCGACACCGACACACGACCCATTTCCCAACTAGCCTACCACCCTTTGCGCGAAAATTTTTTGGGGGTCGCAGAATTTATGCGTACGTACGTCAAAAACCCTAGCGTAAGACGTACTAGTACGACCAAGGGTTAAAAGGGGAAAATTTGGGTTTGTCAGATGGGGTCTTTAAGGAGATGCTTGTCCGGTGATTCTTGTTTTTGATTTTGTGGTAGCAACGGCAGTTACTCATTGGTTGGGTAAATTGGTTACTTGTGGGCCCCTGGTCGTGTATTTTGTTTAAACTCCTGTTAGTATGGGGTGGTTTTATTCAGTGCACAAATCATTTTTCCCTATTTTTTTCACAAAATTTGGGGAAAATGTTTGACTGTGGTACTCTGTAGATTTTTTATAACTGTGGGGGTTTTTTGCAGGTCTTTTATTTAACCTTTTTGGGGGGCGAAAGGTCCTTCAGAGACTTGTTCTCGGGGTTGGGCCAATTTAAAAAAAAAAAATTATTTTTATGAAAGATAGAGAATCTTTTCCCCCGTCATAAAAGACACCAAAAGTATGAAATTTGTGGAAAACTTACGGAATTATGCCCGCGAAATTAGCGGGCTCGACGTGTTTACGCCGGCAATTTTGCCCACTTTTACCCCCTTTTTCAGCCAAATTCCAGTGTATAGTCGACAAAAATCAAACTATTTCCTATAACTTTTTTTTTTCTACGAATGAGTACAAGAAGCCACCCCTTTTCCGATTTCAAAAAATCCAAAAAAGGGTCAGAAATTTGCAATTTTGCCAATTTCTCACAAATTTTTAAAAGAAGCCAATTTCCCAATAGGGCCAAAAAAACAAGAAAGTTCCGGAAATAAAATAACAAGTTTCTTAATTTTTTGGCTTTCCATTCGAAATTTTTTTTTCAAAAAAAAAATAAGATTTACTGTTATGGGGAGCTAGTATGCTTAGTGTAGAAATGGTATAAAAAAACAATTGTGAAAGAATTAGGGCTCGCCGTTGATGTGTATTGGGTGCTTGCAGATTTGTTTACTTTTGAACTTTGGTAAAAAACGAACATTTTGATACTTTGAACTCAATTTTAAGGACTTTTCATTTTAAAACAGCCAAAATCGTTTCCCAAAATTTTTGTAATAGTCTTCCTTCTAAAATGAGACCAAGAAAACTAAAAAGCAACAATAAATATCATCGAAAAAAAGTGCAAAGTCGTGTTTTTAAACAAAACTCGGGGGGGGGGGGGGGGTTTTTTCATTAGACTGTGCCCCCCAGAATTTTTTTTTTTATACTGGCACACTGACACATAGACCCTTTTTTTATAGTAGGCTACCCGCTTTTCACTGATTTGAGGGTGCTAGAATTAGGGGTACTAATCGCAAAAACCCCGGGTCGTAAGAGTACTGTATGTCCGAAACCCCCCAAAGGGTTAAAAATTTGGCTATATGTTCTCCCGTTTTCCTTGTGCAAGATTTATTGATTTATTGTAAAGCTTGTCATCACATAAGAACATAAGGAACACTGCAGCAGGTCTACTGGTCCATGTGAGGCAGGTCCAAGTCTCCTACTGGCTTAAGCCAATGCCCTAGTTACGTCAAGTCACATTCACTTGAGGAACGAGCACTGCATCTGACCTAGTAGCACAAGCTAGCTAGGTCCAATTTGCACCCACTCATGTATTTATCCAACTTATTTTTAAAACTACACAATGTTTTAGCCTCTACAACTGTACTGGGGAGTTTGTTCCACTCATCCACAACTGTTACCAGTGTTTTCCTATATCCTTCCTGAATCTGAATTTTTCCAACTTGAGACCATTGCTGCGAGTCCTGTCTTGGCTAGGTATTTTTAGTACGCTATTTATATCGCCTTTATTTATTCCTGTTTTCCATTTATACACCTCGATCATTCTACATCTTTCTAGAGTGCAGATTTAGGGCCCTCGGCCTATCCTCATAGGGAAGGTTTCTGATACGTGGGATCAACTTTGTCATCCTGCTTTGTACGTTTTCCAGAGCATTTATATCCATTCTGTAATACGGTGACCAAAACTGTGCATCATATTCAGGATGAGGCCTAACCAAGGATATATAGAGATGAACAACAACCTGAGGACTCTTATTATTTATGCTTCTTGATATAAAGCCAAGGATTCTGTTTGCTTTATTGCAAACACTCCTGCACTGTTGTCTTGGTTTTAGATTACGTACTGCTACCCAGAATTCCCAAATCATTTTTTGCAATCAGTAATATTAAGATCTACATTTAGTTTATATGTTGCATGGTTATTTTCCTGTCCAGTGTATAGAACTTTGCATTTGTTTATATTAACCCCTTGACTGTTGCAACCCCAAATCCTGAGGCGTCTCCTGGTGTCACAAAATTTCCGAAAAAAAAAAAAAATTTTTCTTATGAAATGATAGAGAATCTTTTCCCAATTGTAATGACCCCAAAAGAACGAGTTTGGGGACTCCTGATCTAAAAGTTGACAATACTGATTATGCAAGTCATAAAATGGAGGTCATTCTTTACACTTTACAAATGTTTTGTATAAGCTAGTCCCTGGTGTGCCCTTTTTGACATGGTAGGGGTAGTAAAGTTGTAGTTAAATTTAATTTTCTGTAATTATTAAGGCTAACTTTGCCATCTGTTAGGTTATACTGCATTTCACAATTTCTTACTGAAGCCCTTTTCTGCTCTGCTAATAAATATATTTTTCTTCTAGGTGATGACGAAAGCAGTAGGCATCGATCTTGGCACCACCTTCTCATGTGTAGGTGTTTTCCAGCATGGGAAGGTAGAGATCATTGCAAATGACCAGGGTAACAGAACTACACCATCTTATGTAGCTTTCACAGATGCAGAGAGACTTATTGGTGATGCTGCAAAAAACCAGGTGGCAATGAATCCAAACAATACAGTTTTTGATGCCAAAAGGTTGATAGGAAGAAAATTCAATGATTCTACTGTTCAGGCTGACATGAAGCACTGGCCTTTCATGGTAATTAATGATGGTGGGAAACCCAAAATTCAGATTGAATACAAAGGAGAGATGAAATCCTTCTATCCAGAGGAAATTTCATCCATGGTTCTTATAAAGATGAAAGAGACTGCAGAAGCTTACCTTGGGGCCACTGTAAAGGATGCAGTTATAACTGTTCCTGCATACTTCAACGATTCACAGCGGCAAGCAACCAAAGATGCCGGAACCATCTCCGGTATGAATGTGCTTCGTATTATCAATGAGCCTACCGCTGCTGCTATTGCGTATGGTCTTGACAAAAAAGTGGGTGGAGAACGTAATGTTTTAATCTTTGACCTTGGTGGAGGTACATTTGATGTTTCAATCTTGACAATAGAAGATGGCATTTTTGAAGTAAAATCTACTGCAGGAGATACCCATCTTGGAGGAGAAGACTTTGACAACCGTATGGTTACTCACTTCATTCAAGAGTTCAAAAGAAAGTACAAGAAGGATTTGAGCGACAATAAGCGTGCAGTCAGACGACTTCGTACTGCCTGTGAGCGTGCAAAACGTACCTTGTCGTCTTCTACTCAAGCCAGTGTTGAGATTGACTCCCTATATGAAGGTGTTGATTTCTACACTGCTATTACTAGAGCTCGATTTGAAGAAATGTGTGCTGACCTTTTCAGGGGAACCCTTGATCCTGTAGAGAAGGCCCTTCGTGATGCTAAAATGGATAAAAGTCAGATTAATGACATTGTGATGGTTGGTGGCTCTACTAGAATTCCCAAGATACAGAAACTACTCCAGGATTTCTTTAATGGCAAAGAGTTAAACAAGTCTATTAATCCAGATGAAGCTGTTGCCTATGGTGCTGCTGTACAGGCAGCAATTTTGAGTGGAGACAAATCTGAAGCTGTGCAAGACTTGCTGCTTCTTGATGTTGCTCCACTCTCTCTTGGTATTGAAACTGCAGGTGGTGTAATGACTGCACTAATCAAACGCAACACAACCATCCCCACAAAGCAAACTCAGACGTTTACAACGTATTCTGATAACCAGCCAGGTGTGCTTATTCAGGTGTATGAGGGTGAACGTGCTATGACCAAAGACAACAACCTTTTAGGAAAGTTTGAGCTAACTGGTATTCCACCAGCACCACGTGGTGTTCCCCAGATTGAAGTCACTTTTGACATTGATGCCAACGGGATTTTAAATGTATCTGCTGTGGACAAATCAACTGGCAAAGAAAATAAGATTACTATTACAAATGACAAAGGTCGCCTAAGCAAGGAGGAAATTGAAAAAATGGTTCAGGATGCAGAAAAATATAAGGCTGTATGAAAGCACGT